TCATATGGAGCCTCTGAATTTATTTCACTCTAACAAGAGATAATAGGAATTTATTCTAATTTATTATACCTCTGTTTGTTGTACTACAAACTGTTGTAGCGTTAGATAAATCCCCAAAATAAATAGCTCCATAAGGTTTCCACATTGGATGTTGTCCACATTAGTTTTAATGGACTCATCTGACTGAAGGCGCTCGGTCATGCATCCACACCAGCTCACGAGCGCGAACGCCGTGCTCAACAACTCCTGCAACCGCCAGACAGTTTAGGACAGACGATCCTCGATGTACTGATAGCCTATCAAATATATCTTTGAACCTCTTCGCTTCTGTCTTTTGATTTCACTTGGTGGGTACGTCTCATATTAAAACGTGTAACTGGGTAAAGTGTTGTCAAAATCCGAATACCAGTGGCATTTTCAATGTTTAGCAACGTTTGACGTTCATATTCAAGTGCCTTGCTGCCCTTCTTTTTTCTTTCTTCAGATTCTTCCTCTGAGGGCACAGCTGTGGAACTTCTGACGTCCGGAAGAAACTTGACGTACGCGTTCCCTCAAAATCATAGCTTACAGCAAGGCTCTACGAGTCTACTTTATAACAACTATAAACTTAATAAGTTGGGAAGCATGTCGTGAACCAACAAATTTTGTAATTTGTAGATCATGCCAGTAAAAATGGTGTGTATCTGCTCATGCAGAGATTTATTATAATTATTAATACTATCCCGTTTTTAGACTTAATTATACAACACGCTACCTTGCATCTACGACTAACATGCGCCTCGATATGATTGGTTGTATACGAAAGTGATCCCTAACGTATAACATTCTGCCTCCTCCCTCGAGACTTAAAATTCTATCACTTCTAATACAGATGTAGCGTGTGATGGTGTGAGAACAATCTACATCTACGGCGAGCCAAGTTTCTGTGACAACAATTATATCGGGACTTAATTCATCCACTCTAAAACTTAGCTCGGACGTTTTATTTCAAAAACTACAGGCGTTCGTGTAGCACACATTTAAGGTGTTTCGGGAATCATTCATTCTACCCATACAGGTCTCGGAAGCATTGGCTGCCATGACCTGACCACACGAAAACTCCTAATCGTAAGATTCGTTTCTTCAGTGGCAAATGAATCCCCTAAGTCAGTAGTTATGTAAGTCATCGACATTTGATGCCGACCATATTATTTTAACGGACTCACCTATATGAAGGCGCTCGGTCTCACATCCGCATCAGATCATGAGTGGGAATGCTGTGCTCCTATAAGCACCAGCCGGCTTAAATTTGATAGACTATCAAATATATCGTCGAACCTCTTCGCTCCTGACTTCTGGTTCGACTGGGTCGGCAAACTTCGATTAGAGATGTTATTGGTTATTGTGATGCTAATTTCTGAATACTTTTTGCATCTTTAAGCACAAGTGAGTTCACTTGATTAAAAGCAGTTCCTCTGAACATCTGGTGGCCTGACTCAAAATATAAATCAGATAGCGTTACTTCATTACAATACGATGCAAAGATCTCATGTAATTTGGAACTGTGTAGGAGGCTGTTATAACACTTTTAATCATAAGTCACAAGTAATAGTCAGAAAAGCATGAGATCAGAGTATTAAGACAGTTTACTTGAATAACAACAGTAGCATGGGAATCGATGATGTTCGTTTTACATTTTGTACCGATAAACTTAAGGTGTCAAAATAAAGGACGAAAATGGTTTTTATTTTAGTCGTTTCTAAGCTTTTGAATATACACGTCACTATGAGTCAGAAGACTCAAAAAACCTCAGAAAAAGCCGAAAAGTTAATAATCACCACATTCCTACAATTAAGAGTGGAAAAAATCTGTCGCTTAGTATCTTCTCTAGGTGCTTGAAGTATACGGTTTTCAGGTGAGCACTTTACGTGAAAATCTCCTGTCCATGTATTGTTAGGCGAAACTACAATTTGTGGATGAACCAATCAGATCTGAGATAACAGGTCTCGGGTTTTAGCGCGAATTTCATCCACTCTATCGTCTAAATACTATTTTGGCATTGTAGCTGATGTCAGTTCGTAATAAAAACCCGAAGTCTAATTCCTAACACTAACCATCAACTGTAAATCATAATTCTAAGTCCTCACACAGCTTTATAAACCTTATCTAGTCCTAGTTAGTAGGTTGACATTCTCAAGGTCACTTTAACGTTGCTCGACGGACAACCATTAATTACCGTATCACGTATAACATGCATTCATATCCCAGTACGTCTTTTGTTTCCTCATAGATTTGTGCCGAAAAATTCTGAATTGGTTTATGTGATGGGAAATGTGTCGACAATGGGTTCCAAAAAGGGCTTGATGATGATACACTAATGTAACCCAGCTGATGTAAATGTTAGGTTCATAGAGTGATTCAGTAACACAGGGATTCGTATTTATTGTTTTGTCTACATCTCGCCAATTTGATTGGTCTTGTTCCGTACTCAGTTGCTGTAAAAGTCAAATGAAAATTACTGTAATTACATGCCGATATGGCTGTTACACTTATGCCGCTACCTGTTAGTTTTATCATTGTACTATCTTTAATTAACTGAATAACTATCTTGTTTGGCTTCGTTGATTGTTCTTGAGGTCGTTAATTACCAAGAACTAAATGGGCGTATTTACATCAGTTATATATCACAAACATCGGGAGTATATCCAATGAATTAGTAAATTAAGAAAGCTGAAATTGTTTAGAATTTCCACTCATTTCTCAATATAAGTGATGTAATGCAGAAGAAACTAGTTTGTCAATGATCTCAGCGTAGAACTCGATACGGTTGTGTGTTGATTCTTGTTATCAAACTTCATATCAGTCCAGTAAGTTCAATAAACAAAGATAAAAAACCACGTGGTAAAAATGACATCACTGAAAGTTTTATAAAAGTAAACATCGGAACAGCAGTCTAAGAGAACGAATAAAAGCCATTTAGAAATCTGTTTAACACTGGATTTTCAGATCTAATTAATGATTTACTAGAATTCAAGACACTTCAACAATTTCTCTGTTGTTTAAAGTAACACCAGCTTCTGTGAGATCTTTTTTCTTCGTTTTAAGACTTTGACGGAAACTTGGTGGCGCTTGTGAATTAAACCATCAAATGAAGTAAAATTTTAGTGCATTGAATAACTTTTATCTGTTTACTACCAATTTTGTTTGTAAATATTCTGATGTAATGAGCTATGTTATGCTTCTGTAGCAGTAAAGTTTGCCATATGGACTAATTTCTGGTGGTTTTGTTTTATAAGTTAGGTGATTTGACTGTCGGTTTTTAGTTGTTATTCTGGACAAAATCTTAAACCCTCACTCCACGTAGAAGTGAGATTTCTGGTTGTTCCACAAACACTACATCTATCTGTTCCCATGGCCATGTTTATTACTTGGTACCTTCGTACACTTTGTTACCTTCATTTGTCGTTGTATTCGTATCGACTGTCTTTGCTGGTTGAAATCTAACACTGTGATTAATTGGCCTCTTTCATGTAGGTTCGTAGATTGGGTGGACATCAATGCACCTGTTTATTCCCAACGGACTTAAGTGTTTTCCCCACGGAGGTTCCCTGGCCGTCTTGGGATTTCTCTTACAGATAGTTCCGAATTCTCTCTAGTTAAACTCACGTCCATGGTTGTCTACATATGTCGATATCAGTGACACCACATCACGTCTCTCTATTGCTGATCCGTGTTCATTTATGGATAGATGAGGAGGACGTTCAATTTGTTCAGTGTGATAGGTCCCGTAGTTGGTGCAATTTATTTTATAAATGATGTCTCATTTCTCTTCTTTTGTTGTTGTCTTTTGGTCTGTATAGAATGAAATAGAGTGGTTGCATTGGTTTGTGGGCGACGGTTATTCCAAAGAGCTTTAGAGCCCTTGTGATGATTTCTGAGACGAGTTTCGCACATCGTAGGGCGATCTGTTTCTTGGTTGCCAGAGTTGTTTTTTACTTCTGTGATTAGTGTCTGGACATAATTCGTTTTGTATACTGTTGTAGCTTTTAATACTTGCTTTGTGTACCTTAGTTTTTTTTCATACTTGTCTTTTACGTCCCTCTGTTTACTCTGTTGCCTAAAATATCAAAGAACAAAACCCTGTCTTCTGTTTCTTTAATTGTAAATTTGCTGTAGTTGTTAACGTCGACCAACCTACGAATATTTGCAAGTGATCTCTCTTCAGGATAACTAACATGTCACCCGCGTAACCTCTTCTAAATTGATGTGGTAATCATAAAACTAAACAGGATGTACCTGAATCCTAGAGTGTGTTGTTTGCCTGTATGTTTACTCATATGGCTAACCAACTAACATCTTAAGAGTTGAACTTAGAACTTAGTGGGTGATTGTTGTAGATACTGTCTATAGAGCTCTCGATTACTCAAGAGATGAAATCTTGGGTTGAAGTGAAGATACGTTATCAAACATGCTCATGATTACTACCAGTGTCACCGATTCCGGGGGGTAGATCTATATAGTAATACTGTGGCGCTGTCAATCGTCTACTCAATAGTGTGTACTTTTTCAATAAATTTGTGACTACATTTCATAAAGCCAGCTCAACAAAAAATGAAGTTTATGGAATACATTTTTCCTCTCTTTTGCTTCGATACTTTATAGAAACAGTATGGGAAAATTACAAAACTGGACATTTAGGTGAAAAAATGTCTGACATGAATGCATGAAATCTCATAACGTTATACGCTAGCTCGAATCTTGAAATGAAAGAAGTGTTCACGTGATCTAATAGATCATCTTGTTTTATTATTTTGAGCTTATCTCTAGAAACTTAGGGAAGGTCCACATCCATCTAAGTTATAACTTTGGTTCGTATAACCAGATATACATATATCTTTGGTGTTGTTCTTTGTTTATCAGCAAACATCTACAATATACCTGTTTTCTATTTTTCAACCCACCAGTTTACTTGAGCGTGTGATATTAAGATCGTATCTTGCAGTCTTTGGTTCTTATGAACCATGTTGATCCCTGAAGACCAAATATGGATGGTCGTTGTTGGTTTCATAATAGCTTTTATTCTTGCTTTTGGAATTGGTGCAAATGATGTGGCAAATTCATTCGGGACTAGTGTTGGGGCCAAAGTATTAACACTGAAACAAGCTTGTATTCTTGCTACAATCTGTGAATTAAGCGGTTCTGTTCTTTTAGGTAAATTTAGTTTGGTTATATATATACGTGCGTGCTTCTTCAGGTGCTAAAGTTTCCAATACCATACGGAAAGGTATTGTTAGTGTCGAACTTTTTCAAACCATCGACAACGGGCATGTACTCTTGATGGCCGGACAGGTTGCTGCTCTGGGTGGTAGGTCTATGAAAATAGTGTTTTTTTCACTATATAATTTTTTTCTGGATTTCAAAAGTAATCAACTACATTTAATCTCTGGTGCTAACAGTTATACATGAATTAAATAAAACTGATAAGATAATAATTCTCCTAGTGATAATGAGCTATTTTACTTTATATATATCAACATTCGCTCGACCGTAGCTGCTATCGATGTGGTGGTCGGACTTGCCTATCGTGATGATTCTACTGAACTATGTCGGGGTAAGCACTTATTTCTTTAGGTGCTGCCATACCAGGGAGGTCGGTTGGAAGACGGTAATACTAAAAGCAGCAACTTAAGGCCCGCGGGCCAGATCGTACTGCTGACTGTAGTGGAGTGTGGGTGCAGTAAGGTGTTTTCTTCGGACAACCAGCATCTGCATCCGGCGGTAAGGCGTTTTGAAGTGCGAAGCAAACTCATCAAAACGTCCCATATAAAGCCCGTGCGCAACTGGCCTTAAGCAGTTGTCCCTTGGGCTCTGCGGTCACACTCCTAGTTCGCCAAGACCACCACTAATTCAACATCCTTTTCAGGTCCCTCAAGAAGAAATATCTTTCCGCGGTGTGGGCAACCGGAAAGTGACAACCATTCATCCCCATGAATAACCCTTCTAACTTATCTTTGTCACCTACGTGCCACTAACATTAATGATTTGAGTTCACGAAATGTTATTTATGGTCTCTTGAAACTATGCTCTAAACTATATGTTGGAGCTTTTAATATTCGAACCTTGTGTCGGATGACACAACATGCTCCTTTAGCTAAAACCCTAGAATCTCGCTCCATCGACGTGTAACGCGTCTCCGAAACGCTCATACAGGGTCCAAGTACAGTCGTTCATTTGACCTCACCTTGTCAGTATAAAGAATCGGGGCTATTTGCCCTAAAAGTGACTGGAGCCCCCACTGCTAGTTCCCGTGACCTCTCTGGTGTAGGTTTAGCATTAAATTCCAACTTAAAACAGGCTTTCATAGACGGGACTCGAACAAACAGTCGCTTGTGTGCTGTCCAGCTAAACGGGACAGGAAGAACTCGATAACCTCATAGATGATATCATCATCACACTAATAAAGTTGTAAGTTCGATTTCGGACCAAACGCATCCTGCAAATCTGGACAGACGGTGTACATCTCGAACTCTATGGGTGTGATAAACGCACAAAGTGGCTGACTTAGTAGATGAGGAACTCAAACGACTTAATCTCTAATCCGATGCATTCATCATCACCGGTACAGCAGCGACATGGACATGCTCAGATCGCATTATCCTATATGTACTTTGTCTTCGTGTCAACTCTGCTCACTTATCTGTTTGATGGATCGTCCCATTATGACCATAATTATCATATTCTCATCATTACATTAATGTCATATCATCACCTAACGTGGAATTATTATTTTTGTTCGTGCTGACATTGGATTATGACATATGCACAATCATATCACTCACCGAAGAAATTATAATTTTATGAACATTCCATTCACGTTATAACATTTGAAACTCACTGGACTGTTTTCTATTATTCAATAACGTAAAACTTTCCTGTCTTGAGTGAGTCCGCTCAATTTTTTTCGTGCCATTTCCGCCCTATTTTTACATACATTTACTTAGGCGAGATCATTTTAATGCTATACCAAACATTTTTCATTTCGATATCATTTATTGTGTCTGTGGATGCCTTTAATTCTGATAAGCCTTTTGCTAGGATATCTCATTTTTATTTTGTTCTGGGTCAATTATCACATCAATGACTTAGCTATTATCTTTCATTTTTGCGGATATATGGCTATCACATGTCATATATTTCTGACATATTTACTACCTGCTCATACATCAGACAACTTGCAACCTACTTATTCTCACGGTATATTCCTCTGTCATACCCATGAACGATTTATCACTCTGTTTTCACGATATTTTGAATCGCTCATACGAACGTGTCATTTAATCATTCAAACAGTCACGAAATAAATGTATGTTAATTTTTTGTACGCTTGGTAATTTGCTCATAATCGCATGCTAACATTCCATTTTTTGTCCCCATCTTTACAATATTCATGTACTTTTTTACATAAGTATGACAATACATTCACTCATTATGCGCACTACTCTATCAGATACAGTACAATTTTTGTTCGCTAGTTATTGTTTTCGTTAACCGCACACATCTTCTGTGTTAATTTCGAAAATAGACATTTTAAGGTTAATTTGCTATTTTATACAGGGGGCTTTGGCGTGGCTGGCACTATGTCAAGCCCATATAGCTTATTCTAGCTTTCGGACAGGCCAATTCATTCTCCTTGAGTCACATTTTTGACTTTGTTAATTATTCGCTTATCAACCTTGACCGTTTTTATGTAAGCGTATGTGTGTGGATTTGTTATTCGACTCATCACATGTCTGTAACCTGTTTTTTGTCTGACTAGAAATATTGAGTAACTCTTGGTTCAGTTGATTTGGTTGACATGTCTTCTCCGGTTCGTCTCGCTTCACTCTCTCCTCTTCTCTTCCTTCGCTCCGTCTTTCTGATTGTCTATTCCGATCAACGATTGTACAAAATATACGTATTCGAAACCCATTCTTGTATTTGTCTTACTTTAATTCCGTTATTCACTAACGAGAGTTAAGTCGAGGATTGGCAGCATGTATATATCTCGATAACAATCAGAAACGATCTAACTGGAGTCAGATATAATGCCACTAGAAGTGTATTTTGAGATCACGGAATATTCAATGTCTGGGTTAGGAATAAAGTACTAGGCAAAGATAGGAAATCGATTGATGATCTAATAAATCTACATCAACTGAGGTGTTTGGGACATGTGTTGAGTATGCCCAACCACCGCCTACCTCGACAGTCGATGTTTTCTGGTGCAGGAGTAGGCTGGAGGGAAGCTATGGGGCAACCAAACCAAAACATGACATCAATCCATGGAGTCACTGACAACTGGATTTAACTAGTGTTAATAAGTACTACCTGGTCGGGGGTTGCGTGATTATCGTAATCAATGGTTGGAGACGTTGAATGACATGGCTCTAAATCGTTTGGAACGGCTCAGGTGCATCCATTCTTTGTCGTTATTCTGCTAATTTATATCTTTTCGAGTCATATCTTCGATGTTCAATCTTGCCTATTACCACTGATACTGTTACTACCTCTACTATTCTAGGATCTGGCCTGATAACAACTTCATCTCTCTGTGCTATTGGGGTATAGCAACTTGAACCGATGTACATGCGTATAGGTTCTACGTTGTGATTGACTAATATCAACTGTTAAATTACAGTTGTTACCAAACTGTTTAATGTCTTTTGCACAATAAAACATTTGATGGCAACTTTAAAAATCTTAAATACTTAGTCAGTTTTAAAAGGAGATTTTATTATTCCAAAACAATGACGTACTTATTACAATATTGATAAAATAATTGTCAAATTATTTGTTAGTTTTTATCCTATGTTTGAGTGAAACTGTATGCAGAATCCGACGTAGTTTTTGTGATTATAGTTTTAATGTCAAGTTGGCACATCTATACTCCATGTTCTTAACAAATATTTACTTCTCTCAAGGTGATTGCTAATTTCCTGTTAAAATAATCTTTGTTGTAAAATAATTTGTGACTTATCAAAATTTATTATTGGTTGCATTTGTGGTAGGCATATTTTTTAATGCTATTTATTTTTATTTAATAAAAACGAACCCATTAGATATTTGTATACTTGTTTAGCAAATGTTATGTTCGCTTAAAGCCTGTAATATTGGGTCTAATGAACTCATGACAAGCAGTTAAATGTATACACTGTTATTATGTATTATTCAATTTGGGACTAACTCTAACATTTTGAGATTATTTCAGGTATGTAGCATAATTAGTATAATGGTTAAAAGATAACTTCTTACAGTTTTCTTAATCTCTATTCTGACGGGCGCATATCAGTTAATTAAACTCGAATATCAAATAATTGACATTAAGTGGATGTATTTGATAATCATAAGCTTTTATCATCAGTAAACTGTATCCATAGAATTATACATATACTGATAGATTTTACGGAGATATTCACTATTTCGAGTAACTTTTTTTCTACCATTTTCTGTTATATTTGTTTCATTTGTCTATAGGTTCTTGTATTTGGCTTTTGGTTGCTACATTCTTCCGTCTTCCAGTCTCTGGCACACATAGTATTGTAGGTGCAACGATGGGTTTTAGTCTTGTTGTTTTTGGACTCAATGCTATTCAATGGAAAGGACTACTAAAAATTGGTAAGAATTTTTTTAAAATATAAAGATAATGAACATGATAATTATTTTTCTGAATACACTTTTGATAATTTAATGAGAATAAATTATTTAGTAGCGATGTTGTTTACTCGATACTGCAGTATTTATTTATTCGTGTAGTAAAGATTTTAACCCTATATGAATGATTATGATTTCATACGAATTCATAACTTTGTAGTTTGAGTCCCATTTCAAACTTGAACAGCATGAATTCTACTTGTTAGTAAAGTTATTATTACCATTTATAAATTTTTAGAAATGTAAGTAATTTTTCCCTTTATGCGTTAAATGCTTAAGCATTAATGTTCCTCACAGTATCTTTATGAATTAAACTATTTTTCTTATGATAGCTATTGCTATTAGTAAAATCTAGTTCCCTTTTAATAAACAAATAACTGCTTAGGTCTAAACAACTAGACATGGCTATCTATATAATGTACTTTATGCACCTTGGTTTTCAATAGTAAACTACAGAATATTTCGTAAATTTCACTTTGTTGTATTCTTATGCTGGAGCGTAGGATAATCCACATGATTTAGAAAAGCCTAACAGAAAACGGATGATTTGATAAAACCTAGGAGAGATTTTAAATCATAAGACATTCTGATAATTAATAAGCTATAAAAGTTATATTACAAAATCTAAACATAGTCTGTTTTTCCTTATTATCGCTTTTTAACTACGTTGGAATCATAATACGTCAAACATTTTTGTAAGTCTGAGGTTGTGGAGATTGTTGAGTTTCAATGAAATCACAAACCGATTTAAATCAGACAGCCATCCGAAAATTGGAAGCACTAGACTGCCTTTTCATTCTAGCGTGCGACTCCTAAATAGTGTGCCCACGATCCCAGAACCGGGATTCGAACCCAGGACTTTCTGTCTACAGATCAAAGGTGATAAGTGTTAGATTTTATATACGTATTATGTTTAGTATATATGGTTATACGTTTTGGAACAGTTTTTACTGCACACTATGTATATGGTCAAACAGTTTGTTCCTGGATTAAACTTACTTTATTGATGTGTTTTCCCATGTTAGGTGATCAGGATTAGACGGTGTATTTCATCATCTGACTCAACAATGATTGTATGTGTTCACTCAGCTGATTTCTACTATTTATGTAAAATTATATGCATATGCAAATTCTGTCACAGTGATGGTTCCACAAACAACGCAAAAATATAATACACCGAGTTGCTTGAAGTAATGTTTTGCTTTTCTATATTTAAAACAAAATCAAATAATAGTAGTCTCAGTTTTTTGAAAACGAAGTTAACATAGATCTATTTTGTAGTAGAATGAGGTATCTAAGATCCAAAGCAAAGCTTACATCTGATTTATATTTACAGGAGAACACTAGATACAGTCATTTGAGTATGATGTCATCGGTGCAAAGATATATTTTGTATTTGTTTTTTCTTCAAGTAGTGAAAATTCAATCGTTTCTGACCAGTTTGCTATTTGTTCCATTGTTTATTTGTCCTTCGCTTTGGTATTTTACAAATAATATTTCTTTTCTTGAACAAACATTTCTGTTTGCCTATATTCTTCGTGTTTACTTCAACACTTTTCTCTTTTTGCTCCGCTATGAAATGCTACAATTAGTTAGTATGTATTTATTATTCATGGTTTGATAATGCTGAGTCTTCACCACCTAATTATGAATAGTACTTGCTGTAATTTAAGTGATCACATTGGTTGGATGGGAAATCTATATATTCTATGACGGTAGTGATTTATATAATAGTGGACTAAGATAAACTAAATATAATGAATAATCTCATAGACCAAATAATAGTTTTATTCCTTGAACTACTGAGCAGTTTTATAATCATAATAATAGTGTTATAAGTAATTTAGAGAAGAAACATGATACTATTTAAATATTGTAACTTACATTGTATTTCTAGGCTTTACTTTTCATTCACATTGGTCTTTTTTATTGAAAGTTACATGACTTTCCCTGTTTAAATAAGAAAAAATACACCTTTTCGAGATTTACTTCACATTAAAAATATTGTAATCAATTTCGTCATTTTCAGGATTTTATTATATTTTGCCTACATTCGTGTCTATAGTATGACAGTTCAATTAAATATGCCAAATTATTGAGTAATAATAATAATAATAATATTTACATGCTTATGCCTGTTACCCATCGTGGAGGAGCATAGGTCGTCCACCAGCATTCTGCAGCCAACACTGTCATGGGCAATCCTTTGCAGTTATTTCCAGTTGCAATTAATCCTTTTGATGTCTGCTTCCAATAATGATTATAATTAATTTACTGTCCTACTTATTGACACTTTATACTTATAAGGATTGAATAAGTATTAACTTTTTGTATAATATATTCATACTACATAATTTGATAACTTGACTGTTAATCATCCTGTTTTTACATATTATATTTTATGCAACTGTACATGTAGAACTGTTCATTTTATTTGTTTGTACATAAATATGGAATGCTATCATGGCCATGTTATAGGATGGTAACGATAGCTAATGTTGTTATTGGATAGAATTGACTTTAATCGTGTGACTTGGACTTTACTTTCTGTGTAATTCCTTTCATTCGTTTTTATAAACTATAAATCAAATATTTTCATACAGAGCTTAGTTAAGTTTTCCCAAAATAGTTTTTTTTAAAAACTTGTAAAGGGCTATAAATAAATGATATATTTGTAATATCCCAATGAATAGAAAATTAGATTTTCCGACGTTTCGTGACTTAGTGTAAGTCACTTCTTCAGAGAATAAATAACCAAATTAAACTTGGGTTAATTTTAATTTGGTTATTTATTCTCTGAAGAAATGGCTTACACTAAGTCACGAAACGTCAGAAAATCTAATTTTCTACTCATTAGGATATTACAAATATATTATTTATTTATAACAATCTACCCAATGCTCAATTCATTCGAAATTATCAAATCAAACCTTGGTCATGATACCTTGTAAAGGACTAGTTATCTTTTTTTAAAGTGGGATAAATTTATTCAGTCTCTTCACTTGACTTTAGATAAATTCATGCTGTATAGACTTATGTTAATTGAGATGGCTGGTCTGTTAAGAATTTTTTCTCATTTTGGAATTAGTTTTAACAAGGAATCAACACAATAATTGACATTCTTCTGAATTTAACCAATTAGCAATAGATAGCTCTAATAATATCCATTGTTATCGATGATTTGCTGATGAAAACTGACTTCAGAATGAATTATTCTCCATAAATTAGTGAACTAGACAGAAGACATATTTTCAGACTATTTAAAACGTTATCAATGAAATATGGTTTATAAACGATTTGATTACTTTATTTCTGAACATTATCTTAATGTAATTTAGTAAATATTACATTTAATATCCTTGTTGTTGATGCCTACATAATCAATCGGTATTAATACTAATGAAATGTATATCCTACTTACTTCGTATACATTCTGTCGAAAAATCATGTTGATACAACTTAGATAATAAAAGTCAAGCACAACTTGTACGTATACTTTAAACATGCTGATGTCGAATGACAGACAAACAAATAAAAGGTCTACAGAGTGTACAAAGCACTGGAGTTCGGTAGTACACCGACTCAGAGAATAGTAAGGTGACTTAGTTTTTATAAATCATGTAAGAAATACAGGAATGGGATATGCATATACGTACTATTACACACAGATGTACAAAACGTGCTCAAGGTTTCACTGGACTAATTAACGAGAATAAATGTATGTGTCATAGAATAACTGGAAAGATTAGAATAAATTCTGTGCAAATGTTTGAATAAGTCACGTAGGCGTGTAATGAAACAAATTACTACATAAGCTGTGAAATTTCCTTCATTCTCCAGTTAACTGTTTGACTGCACGAAATTAAGTTTTTGGTTTATCTGTGACTAAAACTCCGGTGATATAACCTTTCAAGATATGATTCTTTGAATAAACAAGTCAACAAGTTGATATACGTTAGGCTTTCACCAAACTTTAATCACTTAGTCGAGCTCTTTAACCTATATTTCTTGGACAACAAGATTATTAAGTATCAAAATCAAATATTTCTCTTATCGACAAATTATTTATTATATTGTATAACTAATATAACAAATTCCTACAATACTTAACTATTGTTGAAACCAAAGGTATTTTTAATTCATGTGTTTGAATGATTCGGTTTGGTGATGAACAAGAAGCGAGCCATACTTTATTGATAATAAGGAACATAAACTTAATTCTCTTAAAAAGAACTACTGGACATCTGTTTTTAAGGAAATCTCGAATTGAAAATATTAACTGTTTTGTGTCCAATAAAATTTTGTCCGAACTAATATGTTTACTAGTCAGTTTCAAACGATTTTAAGAATTCTTATTGGTAGACTAGGAAAAGTTGAAATATTCTCATGTTGACAGTAACCGATGTAGACACATTCAAAATGTAATTATTGGATGCTAACATTAACCATCTTATGTTAAACCGATCTACTTACTGATCACGAAATTTCTTTTATCATTTGATTTTATTTTTAGCCACAACATATTTCTGTGCAAGTTCAACTTACAATTGCATTGTTTTAATAATCGTTTAATTTTCTGATGTACACTTTTAACAATTACCATAAATGAATGCTTTCTAGAGCAGTAAGGGGATAAAAATGTAATATCCATTGTAAATTATGAAAATGGTGGACGTTTCTTTGAATTAATGCTAGTATTTCTGGTAACAGTACAGTATAAGGATGAGTTTAAAACAACTGCGACGAATTTCCATCTAGTTTCTAGACGATCAGAAAGTAGATTTTATAAATGGATAGGTTATGTAAAAGAATTGTATACAGATTTCATGAAATAAATCTATCAATGTCTTTTGAAAGTTACTTTGTTTGTAAGTCGAAGAAACAACTACATATAAACTCGTCCTCATGAATATAGACCGTCCATCTTTTTGAATACTTTAAAGGACCCCAAAAAATTCTTAGGAGTCCCTACATTGTCCGAAGTTAGAGTTAGGGTTTTCATCACGAAATGGCGTCAGCTGAAGTGAAAAAATACTCTGTTGCCATATGGATGAGTGAATTTCACTCGAGAATACAAAAGGCACTATCTGATTAGTTCGTCTATATAATGTACTGTTACCAGGTTAAAGTTTGTTACAGGATTAAAAGTTTAGAGTTAGGATTATAGGGATGGTGTTGATTTGCCAGTTATATATAATCTACAGAAAAAGGATTGATCATTTGATGCGTTTAGTAATATCATTTTTACTCTATAGTTGCAAAAAATAATTATCTACAATCATTTTAAACGTTTTGAAAGACATACGAAAGTATTTGTACTGATGATTATACGTAATCTTTGAATTTCACGCAAAAGCCTAAAATTTGCACTCTTGACTGTGAGTGGCTCGTCGCCGCACCATACTTTAACCAGATTTCTTATTAATATTTAAAGACTGTATCTTTATAAATTGTAATTAGAAATTGTCAAGTTTGTTGCAAACTTTTCAGTTGTTCAACATGTAGACTTAATTCCGCCCGTCTGTGTTAAAGTTGGTCATCAATGTTCAGTTGTTGTCAACATCCAGATATGCATTCGTGACCAGTATTCATTTCATTAACCCAAGGGTTTACAATGTCGTCTGTCATTTTTACATGCTTAGTACTCTAACTGAAGTCTCGTCCAGATTTGGGCGAGTATTTTCACAAAAATTGGTCGTGGAAGAAATTGGTTATAAATTATATCTGTAAAAATTTCAGAAATTCAAATGAAGTGCATTCAGAATTTGATTCGGCAGTCCAATCTGAGCTTCTCCATGGAAACAGTCAAAACTATCGAAGATAGATTAGGTCGAAAGTAATTCTGACCATGGCATAATGCCTTTTATAACCACTCTATAAGAATGACGTCCACATAATATATTCAACATCATATACGGCTGTTCTGATATATTTTTCCACTGAATGATTCATGTTAATACTGTAAATGTGATTGAACAATTTAGTGTAAAATAACTTTCAACTTATTCTATTTTAGATAATTTTGATTATTTCCTTGTAGTAAACCAGATCATGCTGTTAGGTGAATTGTTATAACTATTGAATTTTAATCCCTGAGACTTAAAAATAGAAATTATACCTTTCGTATAGCGTTTATGAAAGCATCTTATAACATAGATAATATTATACAAGATTTTGTTTCAAAATATAGACTAAATGAAATAACACACCAATATTAATAATAAGCAAATAAATTAATTCTACGAAATTAATTGTTGACTTTCTACTATCACCCATGAATTGTATACTCGATAATGATTATATCACATTTTGTTTATCATCAACCTAACATGACTCGTGAGCATCATTACTTCTTAAAATAGATAACGTTGATTTGATTGTTGTCACGTTGTTTTATCCATTTGAATTTAGTTGGATCATGGTTTCTCTCACCTCTTCTAAGCGGTTTGGCATCTATCGGAGTATTTTTCCTAATGCGTTTTATGGTGCTGAGAAAAGTAAGTTTTCGACTATTTTAATGCATTATATTTGATCTCATGCTCTCTTATCACAAGAAATTGGGTTAGTACTAGACTTTTAAATCAAATTTTCGGATTTGAATCCCTTACAATGTTTACTTACGAGTATGTTTTCAGAAGATTGAAACTAGTTTTGTTATTGATGGTGATAAATGTTTGCTTGTTATTTCTTATTACACAAACGTTATTATTTTCTTTTACATTTTGATAAAATTAAAGAATGAACAAATCTGTGTAACTGCGATTGACTTTTGTTTGTGCCAAATGTAACCTCTACCAATTTATCCTTATCATCTCGTTGTCACTTAGTTATTACGGCTACACTTCAAAACCACTGAGTTCACAAACTAATGTATTTGTCTTGGTTTGCTGACTACTTTATGAATCCTTCATACGTACTAACAATATGACTGTCTTGATCAAGATGCTCTACTCACGTACGTTTTCTAAGTAATGAGTTATGATAAGTTACTCAATGTCTGCGGATTTCTATCCCCAGCAAACATGAACATGGTTTAACGGGTTGTCTCAGCTAAATTAATTAATGCTTCGAAGGTATTAAAGACTCCATACTTGTATTCGTGTTGTATTATTCTTGTTTAACAAGCATTTTTCAAATGTGCATAAAAAGGTGGTCTACCATATTTTGTCCTATACATTATACTCTGTTATCAACTCAATATTTCCGTGTTACTGTGAAGGTTAATAAGAGAGTTTACATTTAAATCATACCAGATATCTAAAATACTTTTGGGGTTATTACAATCAAACGATTTAACAATTGTCCTTGACACAATTTTATACACATGATAAAATACTTGGCTTTTATTTTTAGTGTGAGTAAGAACATTTGAATGTTAACTTCTTTTTATTATGAATAAAATCATGTTCAACCAATGACTTTCTAGACACTTAAACTTTTGAAGCTGATAAAAGACGTGACAGTTTTCTACCAATTGACCTACTCTATTTAGACGTAAATATAGGAAATATATTTTTTAAGAAAAATGTATTCGAATCTCTGATATCTGACTTTTATTTCCGGATGTGATATATTATGCGTCCTTTCGAATACGTTTTGTCGCATTTGTTTCGATATGAACGTACGCGATCGGCCCGTCGACATATTACTTTTACTCTACTGAGGTGAGCGTCTTGGAATACTAATGAAGTCGTGTCATCAGATGTTAGATTACTTAATTAAATGTCCATCTTCTGCAACTTTGCCAGACCTCGATAGTCAATTCTATTTGGAATATACACGTTTATCGTTGTTCTTGATAGTGCATCTATTACTTCGTTGAATTGGCTTTTAATATATCGTATATTCTGCGTTGTCCGAGAAATAAATTATAAATGTCGGATTTCTCTCGCAGATTAATTATCTTGCTTGGCGCTCAATGCTTTTGTAAACGGTTTATGATCCGTGTTCACAGTAAAATTTGTAATTCCGCCATATGTTGGAAATGCTTTTTGCCAAGTAAATTGCTAGTAATTCTCTTCCAAATGTACTATACCCAGTTTGTGTAGGATTCATACTCTTTGAGATAAATGAAAGCGACTTCCTTGTGCTATTAAATAACTGTTGCGAAACGGCTCCTATCGATGCATTCGATGCTTCAGTCATGATAGCTAGTGGCATTTCACTCCTTCTTCTAGCTAGCATCGTCTTTTGTAAAGTGCTTTCTTGGCGTTCTCGAATGCCTGTATCGCCATTCATCAATGGCTGCAGTATTGCCTCACAATTCAGGATAAATCGCTTATAATACTTTATTAGCCTGAGAAATCGTCGTAACGTCTTCCGTGATTCAGATAACGTGTTGTATCGATAGCATCAACTTCCACTGGGACTGGCGTAATACCTTGAGAAGTTACCATATGACCTAGGAACTGTAAGGGTCGCTATCCAAATTCACACTTCTCAACGTTTATAGAGATGTCATGTTCTCGTAGTCTCATGAATAGTTGTCGTAGTTGCTGTAGATGCTCGTCTATCGTATCGCTGGCTACTGGTAAGTCGATTTGCGCATATACTCCTGGTAAACATCTGATGGCTTGGTCAGTAAATCACTGTAAGGTTTGCGATGCATTAGTCAATCCGAAAGGCATGTGCAGAAATTAATATAACCCGAATGGGGTCGTTGCTGCCGTTTTTGATATGTCCTTTGGCGCGACATGAATGTGGTAATATGCTCCAACTAGGTCAATCGTGGGTGTGTGGTACAGAATATCTGTCAGTTATTGTTCATTTGTTAAGTTCTTGACAGTTTCTAGTCGACATCCTGACAAAAAGTCTAATGACTCGAAGCAATACTGATATTTGTTAGATCCTATGTTGCTTTTGAATGACTGGTAAGCCGTATATTTTATCCTATAAAACTTAGGTATATAAATAACTTTAAAAGACATTACTGTTAGTTGTTTTCCATCAGCGACACTTAACTCAAATTCAAAATGACCGCCTTTCGATTTAGATAACTTAACATTTAAAATAAATTATTGTGTAGTCATGACAGTAGCCGTATTGACTAGACTACATTACTTGAGCAGTAGATTTTAACCAACATCCCCAATTTCTTAACAATGCAGTGATGTCCATCTAATAACGTTTTCTACTTTAGTCATTTTTATGTTCGTATTTAATGAGATTTGTCGTGTTGTCAGACTACTCTTCTATTATTTCTAATTTCATCCTTTTACGCAAATCCAGCATGATTTATTCTTCTACCAGACAATATTTGTTGGGTTTAATTTAAGTTATTAATCTTATCTCTCTACAAAAGCTCATCACATACTAGTCATGTAGACATGTGTGTGTGTCCATATTTCTTTAATACATAACAATCTAATGAAGACCGAAGTCGGAAAAACACGGGAAAGAAAACTGATTCTATAGTTGTTTCTGATTTTGTTGTCGTTATTAGTTTTCTCTGTCATTCTTTATGTACGTGACATTCTTTTATGTGCATTGTTATTCCACAAGAATGTCTATAGAGTGTTTTAGTCGGTATATGTGTATATATCCTGTGTGTTGGTTGAATCTTATGTAAAATCACTATTTTACACTGAACATTTGTTTCTTTAAAAATGGATTTCGTTGTTGTTTTTTTCACTGCTTTCACTCTAGATTTATTTGTTTATGTGTAGGAATTTGTGACACAATTATTTGTGCAGATTTTAAAACAAAACATTGTAAATATATATATATATATATATATATATATATATATATATATATATATATATATATATATATATATATATATATATATATATATATAATTCGTAGGCAGACAGTCTACTCATAGAGCAATTTGAATGTAACTGACACAAAGATGTGAACAATGGTATCTGCGTAATATATTTGCAAAAATAACACATCTTTTCCAGGACTACGTAAAACTATAAGTAAAATAATCTGAGTATTAATATTGCTATTCAAAACGATATATATATATATATATATATATATATATATATATATATAACCTTGTGATTTGCCGTTTCAACTCAATGGGCTTGAATAGTTCGTGATGGATAAATGGGCATTTATTATTTATATAAAAGTCATTCCTCTTCTTATCTTAAATGTTTATTATTTTATTGATAGACAGTGAAATAGCTGTTAGCATACTGACTGTTTTTTGAATCCGTCAGTTAGAATAATGATGAAACTAGTAAATTCTAACAAAAAATTTCTAAGCATTTCTGGTTTCTGTATTTCCAAGTTAGTTCCTAGTGTGAATGTTTACAAGTGAAGGATGAAATACAACCGCAGTCTTGATCAATGCTGAATAAGGATGTTTAGGTTTTTTCGCTGAATATATAATTAGTAAGGTTCATTGATCTCTCCGTTTATATCAGTCATATGTTTCTGATCATTTACTTATACCACATGTAGTCTATCCAGATTTCAGGTTCCACCAGTCTTTGTTTCTATTCAGTCTATAATAAGACAAACATCCACATTATTCACGTGTATTAAAAGAATTAACTGTATGTTATTTCAAATAGTTCAGAAACAAACATAAATCCATCATACAGTGATGTGAATTAAAATTAAGTTCATTCCGTAAACTGAACAAGTGCAATTTTATATATTCACTTTAATTGAGACACAAAACTTTATTTTATCATGAAATTAGTTCATTTAGAAGTAACTACTCTAATAAATGTTTAGTTCCAACTTTAATGGTACGATTCATGTAAAAAAAACTATATTGAAATTAAGTGTAATTGAATTAAATTTCATTTATATTAGCACACTGAACAAGAAAGTATTTAGAAACTTTAATCGTAACTTTTTATCATTTAAAAATGACTCTGATATTATGAAATCAGTCAATCACTTTATATACCTTATGAACAAATGTGAACTTAACTGATTTTATCACTAAATATGCATGCGTTTATCTAGAATTATTCTAATTTGTTAACGAATATGTAATTTCCTTATTTCTACTCTTAAATAAATTCATTGAATTATGTGAACCGATGAACTGAATTACTGATCAAAGTTGATAAAATTCGGTGAAGTTCACGAACTTTATAACATTCCTGAAGTTCTCAGGATTATCCATAGTTAATTTTATCATACTGAATAATGACTGATATACATATTTTTTTAAATAGTTACTGATGTATTTCTCTAATAACACACAACATTTCTGATAATCAAGGTTACTATATCTTTGCCAACTAATGCACTCGTTATCAACAGTAAAATGATTGTGTCAATATTATACTTACTAAATAATTAGTGCAGTCTTTATATAAATCAGCTCTAATAGGGGTGAATATTTTTCTTTAACTGTGTTACATTACCTGGACATAGACCTTCATCCGACTATGATCACATTCTCTTCATTTTTTGTGTTTTCATTTATTCTTTTCTAAATTATGGTTATATATATTTATAAATGGTAAACCTATAATTGACTTTGTAAAGTTCATTTACACTTTGTTTTTAAAAGAAAATAGAGCAGTTTTATTTTATTTTGCTTAGAGTTTTCTTTACAATATAATCTTCAAACATTTGAACTGTAACACAAACCTCCAAGCAGATATTAGGAACAAAAATACAGATTATCTATCAATTTTGCTTACAGTATTACATTAAGAGCTTATGGATGTTGAAGTTTAATAGAGTTACCGGTGTAACGATAATTTATGGACTACCTTTGAGCTACACTGAAGTGACCTTGGGAGTGTCCACCTGATAACTATGACCAAATGAGAGTTGTAAACCAGTGTGAAGAATTAGAATGATCATTAACAGTTGATGGTTAAGGTAAGGGATTAGATTTAGGGTTTCCATCACAATGGGTAAATATCTCGCAGTCTACAATTGACCATTGAAAACACTGATTGTGACCCTGGTAATTAGCTGGTCAGTTATGTGCAGTGTAGAACCTGGTACTTAAGTATATTGACTCAATTTGCCACACTACAGTATTACCAATCAACTAGAGGTAGTAGCATCAGCGACAGTAAAATAGATCAGTCATAAAGAATATGATTAGAGAACAAATGATAGATGACTAATAATGTCCTAGTAAAGAGCCCTCCGTTTTTGACATATCTTTTGATGGTAAATACTTCCACAAAACGTCTCGATCACTAAAGCCAAATACTGCCGTCGCGTTAAGGAATACTATCTTTATCAGAAGTCGATTGGTATGCTTATGTTTCGTAAAAGTGCGAAGATTTGATCGGTGGATCGACACCTTGTTCTAAAACCATGCTGACTTTCTAAGGCTTCCAGTTCACTACCCTTAATTAAGTGTTGGGTTATTTTTGAGACGGCTATTCTAGACAATACAGATCGAAGGAATTCCTCTGTGGTTATCAAAAGTGGATTTATGTCCTTTCTACTTAATTAATACGATCAGACGCCATTACGTGCCAATTCTGCACTGATGACGATGTGGTTTACTTGAGTTCGTGTTTGAGTTGGCTTTGCTGGTCGCTACAATGGACAATGTTTCTCTTTATGGGCATTTTTAGGCTTATGAAAGTTAGGGATATTTTTATAAAATTGGTCGTTTTCTTGTTCCGAACTGCAGTTGGTTTGAGCGCTGTCAGAGGCTAGAAGAATGTAATGGTGTTTTTCTTTGTCGTGTTGGGTTCATACAATACTATTCAAGTGGACGGCGCGGCGCACAAGCTAAGGTGCAGTCCAGAAGACCTCGTTTTGCTTTTGGATTAAATGAAATAGTTACACAATTTAGGAGAGTGACTGTATAGCGTAAGCGATAAGTGCTTGAGGCCGGTTACACGCGACCCTTCCATGAGGATTTTTAATGTGTTAGCTCTGTACTTTAAAAGGCATTCCCTTCTCAGTCAGGAATCTTTGATACATGATGAAGTGTGATATATTCGTAACCTGTCTTCTCTAACCCCTGCTTTCTATTGTCGAATGAGGTGATCTCTTGGGATCCTGGTTGTTGCGATCATATTCCAGTACAGTTTTCAGTATAACGTTCTTCAACTGAACGGTCTCGCGTAATTGGACCTCAGAGGAACGAGCGTTCTCGTTAATATTCTTCTGTTGGGTCACTACGATAGGTGAACTCGATCACCATACCGATGTGGAAATCTCAGGTAGGGATTTATTATCATCTGAGTTGCCGCGAGATCGTAGCTTGATAACGTGTGAAGTTGTGAATGTGTGCTATTGATAAGTTGTCAATATGGCCGAAACAGTCACCAATAATTCTGTGGCAGTTTTCAGTAATGTTTTAGGTAAAACCAGTTAATGATAAAATTGATTTCAAAATAATATCTTGGTTTCTAATTATGAAAGGGATTGTCTTACTGTATGAACAGAAATTTGTACTGATATTGTGAGCTACTGGCTTGTACACCTAACATGCTAATTAATTGCACACAATGATTATAACCACCTTATTCCAAACTATTTGGAACATGATTAAACTTAGAGTGACTAATACTGAACTAAGCTCATTATTATTGTATTTCTATGTCGCTCGAATGTTTCTAAATCAATTGTGCAATAATCGATAGTCTAGTGCGTGATGTGTTGTCTTTATTTGAACACAAACAACATTTGAAAGACAAAATAAATCCATAAAAAATATACCGCTAGTATTTTAACAGTTTGTTCGATTAATAAACTGTCAAGTGAGTGCATATTTTATTAAGTTAACTATACAGTTATTCATTTCAAAGGGGATATTTCGAGATGTTTTATTCTCACTGTATTAATTACTGTTTATATTTGACCAGATATTATGGTTATGAATATAATTGGTAATGTTAGGACCGATTTGTCAATGATTTGTTTGTCAACGTGTTTGAATCAGGTTAACTGCTTTTGTGAAAGTACATAAATAAGCCTTACCCATAACTCCTTCTTTTCTTAATTATGTACCTTCATGGTTATGACAGGTTGTCAGATCTATAAATAGCGCTATGATTTCTAATCCGGAATATAGAATAAGATTTTTCGGTTCATACCAGGTATCGAATAATTCACTAAACGGTAAAAATACTCCTCCATCATATCATAAGTGCCATCGTGTACAACTAGAAGAATTCTTACTTATGAAGATGAAAGTTCTGAGTATCCTTAATTTTGTTAATAAGTTTTATTAACTGATCAACAGTCCCTTTTAATATTCAGACCACCCTGTTCGACAACTATCATCGTAAAATCATAGTGACTGCTAAATAATATAGATTACTGAAATCTAAACAATCGAATGGACTGCGTTATACTTTATGTAACTTTCTAAACATTCCTAGCGTGTAATTAAAGTATTTATGTCAGATGTTACGTTGTAAGTGAAACCAGCCATGAATATGAACAAAGGTGTAAAAACTGTAACGTTTATGTTACTTTCATGTAACCTTGTATTAATGAAACCGTGCATATATATGTACAGTAAAGTTTAATTTTAATCTTAGAGATGTGTTTATTTATTCATTCGTAAAAGGTTATTGTTAATTTCAAGTGAAATCATTTTAGATGACCGCTGATGAATAATAGCACAACGTGTAAATACATTTGTAATTTTGTGCATTGTAAACGCTAAAATGAATAAATAAATCTTAAAATTTATTTACTAAATCACTGTACATACTTGGAAGTGTTTTCATTTATTACAAATGATCTATTAACATGCCCGTAATTGTTTTTTTAAAATTAAAGTGTTTTTGTTATTTGTCTATCGAATTATAAACTTACTATTGTAAGAGGATATTGTAAATATATATAGATGTATCCTATTATCTGTGGAACGAAGTATCTTGGAGTGTTTAACATTGTCTATTTAATTATTTATTTGTTTTACAGGAAGATCCTCTTGAACCTGCACTTAAACTTATCCCAGGTTTTTTCGGCACAGTGGTTCTGGTCAATAGTTTTTCAATATTTTACGAAGGACCTTCGCGTACGTTAGCCGCAAATTGTCATCGATATTTTCATTAAAACGACAGTTGTTACGTTTGTTGTAATAGATATTTATTAAAGTGTTGAAATTGTTTGATAATTTGTCAGTGATAAAAATAATTATTGATGTATTTCGCGGATATTTTTATAATGTGGATTGTTACTAAAATGCACTACAGAACTTATTTGATGGTAGCTTTCTGGACATTTTACTTAAATCTAGCACAAAATGCACTTGACTGAGACAAGTTAACTAGTTTTTTCAATGCTTTTATCCATTCGAATCAAGTTTCCGTATAGTGGATCGGTTTAAAGTTTATATAAGTAGCGATTTCTATGCACAAAATTGAACTATACGACCGGTATAGTAAGAATAATGAATTAATCTAGAATTGCTCTGACAAATATACCTTTCAGTTATCTGGTAGTTTATGGTGTTGGCTCTAATGCAAGCGAAAGTATTTTTAATGTTTCTTCGGTATTTATATGAAAGTCAGCAAAGTAGGTACGTTGAATGGAGTATACGAGTTAGTTTATTATAATTCTTGTCGCAGTGTTGTCAACTCACCTTAGTAAATAATTAAATATTAAAGTGAACATGAGCGTGCGGTGTTTGAAGCCAGCAGTACTGGGTTCGAGTTGTTGAGTAAAAAACCAACACTAGGATTCGGTCACATTGAGCAATAGAGTCCTAAAGGGAAAGAGACGCGCATCAATACCTTGGGTAAAAAGATCAAAGTCGATTGATCATAATATCATTTTTATCCACACAAACAAATACTTGGATAAATAACAATAATATCAGTTATGTTATTCTAAATTAAGTTTGTCAATTTTTTCTTGAAAAAAGGTTTTTATTTACAAAACAAATTATCACTGTATTTCACTTCCTTACTTTTGTTAATTCGGATTTTACCTAAGTTGTGTTAGTTTTTTCCCATTGAATTTGACAACGACTGTATTGGAATATTACAAGTGAGTTGTAAGTGTTTATCTTCCGTGTTATTGATCAGCGTACTAACAGCGCGGCAATAATTTATGAAAGAAGACATGGACGGAAGTTGGTTGATTCTGATATTCTTATTGTTTAACAAATAACTTAGAAACATTTTACTCTACTGAATTAAATAACCTGTATAATTTTATATAGAGGTTTGGTACATAAATTTAAAGTATTACAGTTAGATTGTTCCTTTTTATTTATCTCTTGGTTTATGCGTTCAATTCTACTCAATATGTGGATTGATGTGTATGTTGGTATTTGATAAATATTCCAAGTTCTATTTCTATATAAGCTTGAATAACTGATAGTGTGAATTTGTGATTGATACCAAATTTAAAATGACAAGAGTGTTTATACTACTATGGTGTTGATAAGAATCATAAGTACACATAGTATGCGTGAAGTCCATTAGAATCTATACAATAAACATGGTATGATGATTTTACCATTTCAATCAACTTCATTTAATATAAATATCCTATGTTTTTCATAATAATTGTATATTTCCGTCTAGATTACTACAATAACTGCTTCTCTTATATATAATAGTTAAATTGTTATTGAAAATATGTTGATATTTGAAATAATTATGGATGTAATTAATTACTTTATATTTTTGTGTATTTTTTCCAGTCTCCAATCTACTTACATTTGTATGAACAGTCGATTATCAACTAACCCTATCTGAATTACATATACACATGCTTGTTTTTTTCCTCTTTTGTAGTGCTGAAATTCGATAGGATACCTCTTTATGGAATATTTATAATTAGCTGTGGTTTAGGTATTATCACTGTTCTACTTGTGAAGTTTGTTTGGGTACCTTTGGTTCGTCGACATATTTTAAGTAAGTCGTTACTCTAGTAATCTGATGTATTCTATTGTGACTGTAAGATTTAGCTTGCCGTAAATGGACAGAGAGTAGACTGTGTTGAATTATGCAATTATATATTCCAGTCACCAAATGTGATTCGTGTGCTTTGATTATGGTGAGATTGTGAATGCATACCACTGAGGATCCAAGGTTTATGTGAAATGTCCCTCTATTAACCTCTGAGTTTTCGGCACCTGTATCAACGAAAATAATAACTTTATGCTAAAGGTTTTCTCCTGATGTTTGTTTTATTGATAATCGCTTAAGCCTTTTTGATGCTCAGGGAAAACCAAGGTCCTCAAATTCAAAGCGGAAAACAGTAATCCAATCACTCTTGATGGCGAAACTCTGGAAGATGTAGAGTCCTTCACATACCTAGGAAGCATCATGGACGAACAAGAAGGTTCAGATGCAGATGTAAAGGCGAGGATCGGCAAAACAAGGGCCGCATTCCTACAATTGAAAAACATATTGAATTCAGAACAACTTTCAACCAATATCAAAGTGAGAGTCTTCAATACGAACGTCATGGCAGTTCTACTGTATGGAGCTGAAACTTGGAAAACTACAACAACCACAATCAAGAAAGTACAAGTATTTATAAATAGCTGTCTACGCAAGATACTCAACATCCATTGGCTGGATACCATCAGCAATAGCCTTCTGTTGGGAAAACAAACCAACTTCCAGCTGAAGAAGAAATTAGGAAAAGACGATGGAAATGGATAGGACATACATTACGCGAATCGTCAAACTGCATCACGAGGCAAGCCCTAACTTGGAATCCTGAAGGGAAGCGAAAAAGTGGAAGGTCAAAGAACACATTGCGTCGGATAATAGAAGCAGATATGAAAAGGATGATTACAACTGGACGGAGCTAGAAAGGATTGCCCAGGATAGGGTTGGATGGAGAATGCTGGTGAGCGGCCTATGCTCCTTCACGAGGAGTAACAGGCGCAAGTAAGTAAGTAAGCTTTGATGCTCGTTAAACAATAATCACTGATTTTTCTTGTTGAGCAATTGAACTAGCCAGACAGGACAGTTTATTTATAATCTGTGTGACTTCATAATCACTAACGTCATAAACGGATAAGCAAACGAATTAAAGGAAGCTGAATCTCATCTGACGTCACACATTTCAAATAAGTGATTGTTTGCTGTGTCAAAGAGATAAAGAAAGGATTAAGTGACAAATACCACACTTTATTTGTCGCAACGCGCGGTGTCCGTGACTTGATACTGATACCATAGTGTTTCCATATGCGAACCCGACTGCTCAAGAGATGATATGGGTAGTAAGAATGGAAGTTGATTTGGTGAAATCGACTCATATGCATTTGCACTTATGTGTATATTCCATAGGTAATGAGGTGTACCAAAAGGTTTGTGTGTGATCCTTTGAAAACGAAAGTATTTATTGGCCAGTCACAACCACTTATGATTTGAGGATTTCCGATTGACCCGTTGTAACAGTATTTTCCAAATAATTATTTTGTTTAAAACTGATTAGTTACAGAATATACTCACTGCTACTGACTGAATAAGTTAAGCATTACATTGAGAAGCTAATAACCAGAATAAATACGAATCTATATCATCAAATGGGATTTTTTTCAGAAAAGTAATTAAACTTCTGTTTTCTTGACCAGTTAATTTCGTCGACAAAATATAAATGTAAAACGTAACCACTTATATTGTGAGGTTACTGTTTTTCTTACTCAATTCCTCTATCTTTGAACATTTGACGTTTATCTTTGTCGATTACGGAAACTGATTTTATTTTTCATGATAAAGGATTGAAGGGTCCTAGTGAGAAAACTGGAGAATCTCCCGTAGGTTTTTTGTATCTTGGATTATCACTGATAAATCTGATGACTTAAAATAGTTCAGTGATATAACTGTCCATCCTTCTGGATTAGATTATATCACTGACTATTGATTGAGGCCAGCTAAATCACGTGATCATTGTGAATAAGCATTTCACTGAATGATTGTTTTTCTGCAGAAGAGTAACAGAAATATAAGATGCTATACTACATGTGGATAATAGTTCGTATGGTGGCTGAGAAATTAAGGTGATATTGAAACTAGGAAATAGTTAAATAGATGTAAATATAGTGCAGAACAATCCTGTACAAATGTTTAAATACGTTTCGAAGGAGAAACGTAATTATCGCAGATTAAGATCAAATGAACTTAACTGTTGGTCAAAGATAGTTTACTTTGAGATTAAAATCACAGATATTATCAACTGTTTGCCTGCGTTCAGCTGACAACAATTCATATAAGGAATGACTTCTTATTGTTATAACTTGTGAACCTGTATGCCCTGTCTATTGTATAACGCCACGATACCGCCAATCAGAGAGCAGCGAATTATCGACCGAACCAGTGACGCATAAAACACGTGCGAGCAGCCTAGAGTCCTGATTGGTCCTGCTTTATGCCTGGCCCAGCCAGTTAAATCCAGAACACCAATCTCAGCCTCTGTGATATGAATTATTTATTTCAAGCATACTGGGTTTATACATCAACCAGACAGACCACATGTACCATAAAACATGAAAGAACATTTGTACAAGAATTAGCCAAATGTGGCTGTGAGTGAGAGAGATAGTAATTGATAGACTGGGCATAACTGAAGAATGGTAAATCGTATATTAATAGTTCATAGATCAAAATAAAACTCATAATAAGGGGACCTAATATGAACAATTTAGTTACATAACAATTATACGATAAAAATATACTCATAGTATTGGTCCATAAATGGATCCCAAAAATTACCATTCATTATTCTTATCGGGACATAACACTTACAGATTTATTATTTTATAATCCGATCTATAAATGTGTATACATTTAAGAGGTCTTTTCGAATTAATAATTAAGATATTTCGGAAGTAAGAATGAACTAAACAGCTTTATAACTTCATGTTTCATTTTGAGTGTTATGACTTTAAATTCTTACAGAACTGTGTTTTAATTTCGCAAAAATGAAACCTGACTAATACACGATAATAAACCTGTTTCGATTTTTCTTTAATGTGTGATAAATGTAGTAACATGTAATTGTGTTTCATTGACGCTATAGATTCGCTTACAACAACTTACAGATTGTACGTAATTTTTACATTGACTAAAATATTCGGCTAATTCGGTGTTCATGTATTTTTATAGCTGGAGAATCGAGTAGACATATTTTAAAAGGCTACTGTTCCCGTAAGAGCAAAAAGAAATTGTCTGTCGCTGTAGACGATAAGTATCAATCTGTTGAGGATAATAAATCTTCCAAACTTTCAAGCAGTAATCATGAATCGATTGATATGGATACGTATGTACCTCATGCAGAGGGAGAGGCTGTGGTTGGATTTCGAAACAATGTTGCCAGAGGAAATACAGATGACAAAGACAAACTTGGACGATTTACTAATGAAAATAATGGTGTATTGCAGGGATTAGAAAATCAAAATAAAGTTTCAAGTCGTAAGTTTTGTTTTGTAAAATGAAGCTTCACTTGCGTTATCCCCAAGGTTGCATTGACACGAAATTCTTAATCATTTTCATGGTTAAAGTCTCATGGAGATTAGATGCAGATATATAGTTATATATAATTTGTAAAGTTAAAATTTTTACTGTTTGTGACAGTAATTTATTATGATTATCCTTATGAATTTGGATAAAAGCAGGCTGTTAGTTAAAACAGAAATATGTGGATATAGTATTTCATGGATTCTATTGATTTACGATTGTGTTGAGATATAAGATTAGTCATAGCACACAAACAAAGAGCTGAAATGGGATGCTATCATTGATGTTTTCTATAGATATATGTTGGAAAGCCCACCTGAAGATCAGCATAGAAAAATACAAAGAAAGAAACTTGCTAAAATGAGCTGTGTGACAGTTGTACGAAACCTAAAAGGATTTACATAAGTTTGAATAATTGGGTTAGTGGGAATCACTCAATAATTGTAAAAGTATGTTTTGGAGTGTATGGAATAATAAGTAACTTTCTAAAGATCGCCTAAATGATCATAGTTATAATATCAACGGAAACGAAAGTATTACTGAGTGGGTTTTAATGGTGATTGGTTTAATTTGAAGGTGGCACTCGTCACAGTTTGACCTCAGTCGGTATACCATTAGTAACCAGGGGGGGGGTACTGAACGTTAGTTTAATCGTAGTATGGGGCTCCACGACTATGCTCACTTACACTTATATATCCATATTTGAATGCTTTCTAAATATCGTCATTCCTCTTTGTTAAGTATATATGGCGAACTCTCAACTTCGGTTCACAGTTTCAGTACAAGCGTGAATCGTCTACGTATGCTGATAGTGGTTGGTTGATTAGACCATATCTGATATAAATAAGCTGCAGTCTACTTTGTCACATTTACAGGATGAAAGAAAATGAAGTATTTTCCTGTAGATTAAATTTGTTTAAAAATAGTGACATTTTGATTGTAAGTGTAAACTACATTTCTCAAACGTGTAAATAGTTAATTTTAAGAAAATGCGATTACTTAACCTGAATGAGACCAAGTTCTGTGAAATTCAAACGTCTAAGCAAAAGTGTTTCAACATCATTAAAAGAAAATAAGCCGACTGTTCACCCTATGTACTGTTTCTTTAAGTGTTGCGTAATCGGTATAAAATTTCAATGTCAGTTGTTAATAAAAAGGATTAGTTACACACTGTTCACTTCATCGGTGAAGAAATCTGTTTCTACAAAAATGTAGACATAATTTAGAACACTTTCTCTTGAGTAGAACACTTTATGAATACGTCAATTTTATTGTATATATTTCTGTCAAAATGTTTTTTCACATTATTTGTTGTGGGTAACACTGGTTATTCTTCTTATTATTATTAACTTCTCTGAAACTGTATAGAAGTGTGCACTGTTTATTAGAATAATGATACATTAAACTTAATTATTAACTTTACTGTGTACTTCTAATGATTTAACTCGTTAATTTACTTATAAGTAATAGGAATATAGTGAAGAAAATGTTTATTCTCTATAGAATGTTGTTAGGAATGATTACATAGAAACGGTTAAACTATTATAATAAGTGGCTTCATTTTATTTAGAGTAAAGTGAAGTGACCTCATGTGAAATCGTTATCAGTTTATCACTTGTTTTAAAGAACAGATATTTTAGTGAAATTAAGTGTTGCTAAGTTTTATTTGGCCTGATTTATATACTGACACACAGTTGGCTTCTCAAGAAATCAAGATAATTTCATAGTGTAAATAAAATAATAAATTTTTTCCATGATTATATCCAAAGTGAAATCTTTATATTATTATTATTGTTATTACTATTATTATTATTACTTGTTATATCTTGAAAAAGCTGATTTTCTTGATACAACCGCGTATAACTGAGCACTGGAACACCAAACCCTTCCAAGTCGCAATAAGAAGACAGAAGACTAACGAAAGGAATATTATTCCAAACAGTGTCAAACATAGTACAAAATTATCAGGTATTTATAGTTTTTAGTGGGAACGAAATCATCATTACAATCTTCCAATCCGCGTACAGAGGGTTATTAGCATTATCCAATGGGGAAGCTACACGTTGGAATTCTAGAACATTCTTCCGACAGGTGATTGGATGGAACGTCTTCGGCTCCTTATGAGCCTCTTACAGCTTCCTCGAGTTCACCGGTGGTCCGTCGTCACACCTCCCCCCTTTAAAGTCCGTTGTGTAAGATTTTTTTCTTGGATCCACCTGAAGCTTGGGTGTCGCATTCCTCTTGCGCTCCATTACTCTCGAGGGTTGTACAGCTTTCTCTCTGCGTCGTTTGTCTTTTCGATATTTGCGCTCATGATGGTTCTTCGGGGATGAATCTACGAGCAATTGAAATGGAAGCCGGTTTTCTGTGACCACTGTACTATCATTTCTTTGCATTTGATTTATATGTCTTATGCATTTCCCGACATCTTTCCGGACTAGGTACAACACATTTCCGATTCGACGTTCTATGACACCTGGTTCCCACTTCTTATTACCTTGGTACGATCTGACAAGTACCTTCTCACCCACCTGGAAGCTACGATTGACCTTACGATTTTCATTCGTGGGTTTATTTGTCTTTCTGGGCGGCAACATACTGTTAAAAACTGTCCGGATTTTTCTTCCGAACATACACTCGGCCGGAGACTTTCCTTCTGGTACTGCCGGATTAGGGGTAACTCTGTAAGACATCAAGAACTTATTAATCACTTGTTCCGGGACACCCTCACCTCCCCCTTTGACCAGAGCTCTTTTAATTGTATCCACGAATCTTTCTGCCTGGCCATTCGACTGAGGATGGTATGGAGGAGATTGTAGATGCAATATGCCATTCTCGTTGCAGAAGCGTTTGAAGGCGGATGACATGAACTGAGTACCATTGTCGGTCACTAAGATCTCTGGAACCCCAAAACAGGCAAACAATCCTGACAATCTTCTTATGGTACTCTCTGAAGTCGTATTCGGCATGTCATAAACTTCCGGCCATTTTGTGAAAGCATCTACAACAACTAAGTAATTCCTGCCTTGTATCGGTCCGGCGAAATCAGCATGTATTCTTTGCCAAGGCCCGTCCGGTTTAGGCCATGGTTGTGGCTCAGCTCTCGTTGGGTTCTTTGCAGCCTCTTGACAAGACCAACAGCTGCGACATTTTTGCTCTATCTCATGGTCCATTGACGGCCAGTAAGCATAGCTACGAGCTAGTGACTTCATTTTACTTATCCCTGGATGCCCGCTGTGGAACTGTTTAATGGCTTGGTGTCGAAGATTTCTGGGGATAACGATACGATGGCCAAACATTATACATGAATCGACAACTGTTAATGACTCTCGTCGACGAAAGTATTGTAAGAGTTCTCCGTGTAATCTAGATGAAGGCCATTTATTGAGTATGCAATGGCGAACAATCTTTAATACATTATCCTTCTTGCTGGCCTCTTTAATGGCTTCAAATGTGACCGGGAGTCCGGAAACTGCGTCTGACAATATTTTGTGAACCTCGGCCTCGACATCTATAGCAGCTACAAGCACCTCTTCTTCTTGTTTTTCATGCAGACCAATCAATCTTGAGAGTGCATCTGCCTGTCCGAAATCCGTTGTTGGTTGATACTTTATCTTAAAATCATAACCCAGCAGTGTGGTAGCCCATCTCTGTAGCCGGTTTGCTGTATATACCGGGATGCCTTTTTTAGATCCAAAAACTGTCAGTAAAGGTTTATGGTCTGTAAGTAAGGTGAACTGCCTACCAAACAACATCTTGTGGAACTTTTTTACAGCAAATATAATCGCGAGGGCTTCCTTCTCTATTTGACTGTAGTTTCTTTCAGTCATAGTCAGTGATCTCGCAGCGTGAGCGATTGCTTTCTCAGAACCGTCAGGGTAGGCATGTGAAATTACTGCTCCAATTCCGTAGTTCGACGCATCGGCTGCGACTATAATTGGAAGATCGGGATCATAGTGTGTAAGGAGAAGGTTCGATGACAGAAGCTGCTTCAGTTTTAGGAATGCTTCTTGACATTCAGTTGACCAGAACCATTTAGTATCCTTTTTCAATAAGCAATTAAGAGGAGCACGATGGCGATGCAGATCTGGCAGAAAAACTCCATAATGACTAACCATTCCCAGGAAAGAACGTAAAGTTGACACATCCGTGGGTGGAGGCATGGACTTAATGGCTTCGACATTTTCAGGATCAGGTTTTCTCCCGTTTTTATCAATTATGAATCCCAAATACCGGACTTGCTCCATGTAAAAATCACATTTTTCGGCACGCAGCCTGAATCCATAATCTGCTATGCGTCTGAGAACCGTATCCACCTTATTCTCTAAATCAGCATAGTCTGTACCCATGATCAATATATCATCGAGATAAGCCGCGGTACCAGGAATGTCTTGTAACATAGTGTCCATAACTTGTTGGAAGATTGAAGGGGCGGTCTTTACTCCAAAAGGAAGTCGGTTATATCGGAACAATCCCTTGTGAGTGTTTATTGTCAAGTAATGCTTACACTCATCCGCTACCGGAATCTGTAGATAAGCGTCTGATAGGTCTAATTTCGCAAAATACTTACCCCCATTCAGTTTCGCAAATAAATCCTCTGGTACCGGCAATGGGTATTGATGGGCTTCAAGCGCTTCATTTAATCCAGTTGAATAATCTGCACATAACCGGATACTTCCATTAGGCTTTTTAACAATCACTATTGGAGCTGCCCAATCAGAGAAGTTTACTGGTTCGATTATTCCACTTCTTTGCAGACGCTCTAATTCTTGTTCAACAATAGGTAGCGCTGCATAAGGTACCGGACGTTTTGGTCTGAAGACGGGGGTGACTCCCGGTTTAAGAATCAATAGTGCTTTAACCTTTTTGCATTCCCCCAACTCTTCCATAAACACTTGACTGTGTCTTTCCAATACAACACTCTTCAGATCCTTTTCCACCGGTTTACTGGTTCTCACTGCGCTGCATATGTGGTTAATGGGGTGATTTGCTAATTGAAGTGCTTCTATCAAGTCTAGACCTAGCAAATCTAGTCCTGGATTCTGTGTAAGATATAAAGTTGCATTCGTTTTCGCATTTCCTTTCGAGACTGTACAACAAACCTCTCCAACAATATTTAGTTTTCCTCCAGATGCGCTGTGAGCTAACTGGGTCGTTGGGAGCACCTGTGGTTTACCGATAAGATTCCAAGTTCTCCGACTAATAAGTGTGATGTCAGAAGCGGTGTCGAGTTGCAGGCGGGCACGCTTTTTATTTATATCCAAGTTACATACTTTCTTTGGCGGCAAATTCGTGCTCGATTATGTGATACCAATATTTTGTTAGTTCGAGCACTAAATCTGTATTTCTTCGAGTAGGGTTTCAAAGAATGTCGTTTATGGGTTCTTTTTCTGCAGCAGTTTTCTTTATGTCCCTTGCGATGACACTTGCTACAACAATGTTCTTTATATGGGCAGAACCTTTTATAATGCCAACCACCGCAAGACCAACATGGAGATGAAGGCTGATTATCTGTGTGCGATACCTTTCTTGAGCGAGAATCGTTCTTTCCGCTTACAGCACGAACGTATGGCAACTGGCCATTATTTTCGACCATCGAAGTGTCATGCTTTAGGTTTACCAATCTCTGGCACTCTGCGGTTACTTCTTGTAGTGTCATATTCGGACATTGTTCAATTTTACTCAAAATTCTAGTTCTAATATCGGCATCTTCGGGAGATTGGAGGCTGCACACAAATACGAGACACTTAAACTGGTCTTCTGTCATTGCTGATAGTTTGAAGCGCTCACATTCACGGTTTACTAGACCCGCATGCTTCACCCAGTCATCATCACCTGCTTTTGTCATCTTGAGACATTGATAACGAATATTAAACAAGGATGACTGTTCAGCAAAGATTTGCGACAAAATTTCAATCGTTGCATCGAAAGAAAAATCTCTTGGATTCTTTGGAAGGATAAAGTTACTGTAACGTTCATGTTCAACAGTTCCAAGTTTTCGCAAGAGTATTCTGACCTTAGCGGCGTCATCAAGTTTTTTGAGGTCGACCTTGAACAAATCTTCATATTTCTTGAACCAAGTTTCAAAAGTAATGCCAGCTGAACCATCAAAATTAAATTCATGGATAGAATTAACAATCTGGTCAACATGAGATTTGAAGGGATCATCTGTAACTTCTTTTTGATCCAGGTTCATTTTCTGAGTTAGCATCTCTAGCATGCGCATCTGGAACTTTTCTTGACGTTCCAATAAGGCTTCAAATTGTTCCAAGGTAAATGACATATTGATACAATAACCCGTCGCCAGATGTTATATCTTGAAAAAGCTGATTTTCTTGATACAACCGCGTATAACTGAGCACTGGAACACCAAACCCTTCCAAGTCGCAATAAGAAGACAGAAGACTAACGAAAGGAATATTATTCCAAACAGTGTCAAACATAGTACAAAATTATCAGGTATTTATAGTTTTTAGTGGGAACGAAATCATCATTACAATCTTCCAATCCGCGTACAGAGGGTTATTAGCATTATCCAATGGGGAAGCTACACGTTGGAATTCTAGAACATTCTTCCGACAGGTGATTGGATGGAACGTCTTCGGCTCCTTATGAGCCTCTTACAGCTTCCTCGAGTTCACCGGTGGTCCGTCGTCACATTACTACTACTACTACTATTATTATTATTTTTTATTATTTTTATGGAGACTACACTGAACCTAGTAAACGTTAATGGATGAATGTATATAAATGTAAACAACCCGTTTCTAGTGCTATTTGATTTGGTTATACGTTGCAATGATTGACATAAATTTACTTGTTTTGACAAACCTAAATCTTCCCAAACTTAATCATGTCACATCATTTTTATTCTAAGTTTATTCTTATTTGTATGGGATTTTTATATGTGCTCCCTTCTTTTTACATTTCTTTCATATGTTCCATAGATTTCGAAGTGAAACCAAGTAATCCAGATGAAACAGTTTATAAAAGAAATCAGTTAAATAAGGTTTTGGATTATTCACCAAATGATCAAAATGCCATCACGGATGGTAGTCATAATTTAACTAATGGTAAAATGAATGTATCATTTCCTCCTAACCTATCTACAATTGGTGAAGTGAGTATCGTGATTTAGTATTTATCTCCCTTTACTACTGTATCTTTTGGGATATACATACACCTTAATTAAATTACTAGATAGTGTTGAATGGTTACTGTATATCAACCAATAAGAGGAAAGTGAATATGCATAGTTTAGTTACTTAACAATTATACAATAGAAATGTATGTATAGTGTTAATCCATGAATGGATCCCAGCAGTTAGCATTCACTATTCTCATTGAGACATATCAGGAGGCTAGCACAAATGAACATCCAACCAGGTTGGTACATTAAATCATTAAAATTCGATGGTTTATCCAGTCAGTGGTTTCGATCATTGCACAGAGCCCTACAAGGTTGTATCCCAGTGTCCGTAAATGGACTCCATTATGATTGAACGACACTGATCCTGGTGACATGTATATCCTACTTGACTTCGTACATACTGTGTCGACTAAACGCTTTAATACCACATAGTCATGGAAATTCAGACAGGAGAAGCTGAAAAAGTTTATTCGGTGAACAATGAATGACTTCATCCTTATATAGAGTGAATAATACATGAATTACAGATGACCAATTAAAGCAGAGACAACAGAAACGCATATGGCAAGTACACATAAAACTGTTTGAAGTTAACCGTAAATAATTAACAAGTGCATATATACGAAAACGACAAATGAATACACTATGATCAGTAACGTTAAATTTAAATATGCACAGGTCAGTTTATGGTCACCTAATAGTTTATAGAAGTCTATCGTACTAATTCATGATATAGCTGAAAGTTTGATTATGTTTATGACTCAAGTTTATATGGGTCACTCCATCATACAGTGAAAGATACATGATGTGCTGCAAGGTAACTTGTGGTTATTAGATTCGTTTTTTATCACATATCTTCCTCCTTGTTTAAATACTATTTATATTCTATTGCAAATAATCCTAAATTCACATGCTATAATTTTTAAACGCTGTGTTTTCTCCCAAACCTTGCCACCTTTTGGATTATTAATTTGTATATTCTTTGTTCACTTATGTTTCAATATGATGGGAGTTTTTCGGTATTTGGATGAATGAAAGTCGAGAAATTTCTAACTTCAGAGATCGTATTAATTATTTCTGTTGCATTCGTGAATCGTTTGTTTTCCAAACTAGCGATGAACAGAGAGTGGATATTACTCTGGATACCTTGTATTCACAGTGCAATTGAAGAGTTATGTTTTAGGTCTATTTTTTGTGGGAATAAATGAAACCATGCTCAAAAGAAGCAGTCTGAACTATTCTACAAATAAGTATTTTGCATGATATCATTTGTTTCAACTGAATGATTAGACCAATTTTAAGCCTATATATTGTGACGTATAACACATGAAATGCATTGTTAATATTTTTGCTACATATAATCTTCACTTAATTATTACTCATTCTTCTGGATATAGGAACCAGATCCTATCGATTCAGTTAAAGATCGTCCTGCTGAAGCTCAAGTTTTCTCTTCTTTACAAATTTTAACAGCTGTTTTTGGATCATTTGCTCATGGTGGTAATGATGTAAGGTATGGATATTTAACATATTTTTTCAATAAATCAAACTGTGTATATAGGAAAAATTCACTTATATTACTACCATTGAAGTATATTCAGTAATCAGAACCTAAGATTAGTTATAATTGGTATAAAATATGAGTTGAATCTCCACAATGGAATATTAGCATTCATAAACTGAATAGAGTTTCAAGAAATGGTGTAACACGTTACAGTCTGTTCATCTTATACTTATTTGGTAGTTGTTTACGAAATGAAATCAGTTGACGCTATTTTAGGAGATGAAATATAAAATCTAGAAAATTCTAGATATTACAAAGATAATATCTATGATGAGACCAGTTTAGAAAGCTTGATTTTTCACAATGGTTAAATTATTCCTAGTTATCGTTTGACAGTTACTCTCTTCCATTTATTCAGTGTTAACACTTTGTTTCTACTGTGTAGGATTATCAGAAAAAAATTGCTGGAAAAGAATAATTGAAATGATTGAACATGTCCTATTTGTTCATACTCACATCACTTGTAGCTATCTGTCATTGCAAAGTTATTCAGTAGTAACTAATTTATTCAACTGATAACAAATACGTCTGGACGTCATAAAGACTTACTATTAAAGATATTGATGATGAATTTTAAAGCTCTTAATATTGCTTTCTGTCAGGAATTCTGTTTTTATTGAAATAGATATAATACAGTAAAATATTTCCTTAGTAAATAAAACATTATCCATGATTTGTAAAGTATAATCATGTTGCTAATTAGAACAGTTTACATTTTGAGAAGAAGATAGTGGAAAATATTTGTGATGATGTTCATTCTGATATCCATTATTATTATTATTATTATTATTATTATTATTATTATTATTATTATTATTATTATTATTATTATTATTATTATTATATTATTATTATTAAGCAATAATCGTCTGCAATTTCTGAAAACGAAAGAGGATTTTTATAATCTCTGTTTGACACTGGTATATAGTTTTAACAAGAAATCGAAGAGGTTATTTTAGGTACTTGATAATGCTCTGTGTTTTTGTTTGAAGAAACCTAATTTAATTTCAGCATTGTTCGTGTTACGTCTTGGATCTGTCTACCGAATAATATACGGGTGAGAACGTGCCTCGATGTAGATTAAGACCTTGACACGAGAGGCTAACTGGTTTTATCTTGAGGCTAGAAATGTATGAGTCCAAATTAAAACTAACAGCCTTGAGAAGAGGGACGAAAACCATCTTATGACGTGATTGGTGGACAAGCGAGAGAGAAGACGAGTCAATCGGATTAAGAGACTTTCTGGAAATGGCAGGCTTCTACTCGAGAACAACTGTATTTTCTCCACGAATGTCTTCGTGATATGTCTTGTTGTTGGAATGCTACTCTTTATATCTGGTCGTCGATGATTGATGTGTTGGAAACACTTATCAGTTATACGCGAAACGAGAGACCCCTGCAATTCCCACGACGCGCATGCAAAAACACAAGACTGGTATAAGTGATGAATTATTAACCCCCAAAACACGACGACGACCCTAGTCGAAAATACACTCACATTTATATATTAATTTTACACACACTTTGAATAATAATTAGGATGAAAGCACATATATATATGAATACTCATTTATAACAAATCAGATACTGAGCATAGTTCATGTCAATTGAATACAAGAATATCGTATATTATACATAATAAAATATCATACGAGAAAACAAAACAAATACTACCCTGAATAATCATCACATTGAATCCAAATGGAAGTAACGTTGAACAGAACTCATAATGAGTAAATCAATCGGATTTCGACTTTTCTTCCCGTCATATAGCTTCGTCCAGCTCAGAGAACAAAGCCTCTTCAGGAACACTACTCGATTTATTTCCGATCGCCACCTCCCAATGCAAATCAGTGTAAAAAAGGGTGTGGTAGTTAATCATGCATCAAACGAAAGCTCATGGTTCATAGAGTAAGCTAGAGACAAAACTAAATGTTAGTATTTTACAAAGTTTGGATTAAATGAAATAACGTCTCCATAAATAGCTTCCGTTGTCTGTCATGGTTTCGTTGTTTTTCTGTTCACGTAATATTTTTTATCCTTTAGGAGATCACAGTAATCCTGAACGTTTGCACATCTTTTTACATAAAATGAATGACATGTATGTATTTCCTTCTTTTTCATACACCATTTGTGATATCACATTTTTAAACGAGAAAGCATATTCAATAAGAACTATGCTTCGTAGAATTGAAATGTGGAATACGTCAGGGTCTAAAGCTTTCTTAAATGAAATGAGATACTTGTATGTTAGATTTGGATTACGGATCTTTTATGAATTTCTGGTATATCAAAGTATAAATCCGCTTTAGGCTAAACTAACATAATGTTTATATGCTGTCAACCGTTCGGTTATTTAAAGATACCGTGGTGAACATTCGAATCATACAAAGTTTTCATGAGGAAGGATAGTCGTCATAATCATTTTCAGAATACTCATTCAAATCAATAGTAGTCGTAAACTTGTTTCACTGCTAACCCCATTATAAAACATGAAGTCCATCTTCAAACAATTCTCTTAACGTGTAAGTTTTTTATGAATTATCTTTTATGTAGTAATGCTATCGGGCCGTTGATTGGTTTATGGCTTATTGCTACAACACAGTCAGTTGATTCATCGAAAACTACAGATGTTTGGATTTTGGTTTATGGTGGTGTTGGTATATCAGTTGGTCTTTGGATATGGGGTAGACGAGTTATTCAAACATTAGGTGAAGATCTGACGAAAATATCACCTTCCAGGTAGGTTGGTGATCTTTTTGCGCAGAAATATGTTTATTGTAGATATTCTATGTGTTAAATACCATCTTTCGATCAATTTGAATAGTTTTGGTTGTAATTTATATTTCATTTTTCATATGTTTTCGAATGTTTTTATTTGCTTGATCTATGAAATCGTTTTTCACAACTGACACTTTATTTAAGGTCATAAGATTCATTCTCTGATGGAACAACAGTAAGTAAAAACACGAATTAAAAGAAGAATGTTGGATCACTGTGGTGGTGGGATGTAATCGATGTAAATTCTTACCAAACCTTACAGAGGACCAAGTTTAAGAACTTAATTTCTTGAGATGAGCACTTAACCTTCAGACCACTGAGCTTGCATCTAATGGTTTACACCAACTGCAATCAATTAGCGATATTGTGCAACCACAATCAATTCATTTCCTGTGATGGGTAACTGTCTCACACTTGACTAGTCATGCCTTCTCATTGGAACTTCTGGAAGTTTGTCATTATTGAACACAACTATTATTGGTACGGCGTTTGTAGAAATAGTTGGATTGGTTTCGTTTATATACACTATATGTAGGTCGGGCGTAAGTGTATGAAAATGGAAGTTCAAGAAAACTCACTAATTCTTTACTATACATTTTCACTGAATTGTTTATTTTTATTATTAATAACATTAGTATCATTATTCTTTTATTTTGTTATCAGTGGCGTTTGTATTGAAATTGGTTCAGCCCTAACTGTATTAATTGCTAGTAAAATTGGTCTGCCAATATCAACTACACATTGTAAAGTTGGTTCAGTCGTATTTGTTGGACGTGCACGTTCTAGAGACAATGTTAATTGGGGTATATTTCGTAACATTCTAGTTGCATGGTTGGTAACCTTACCCGCTGCTGGTGCTATCTCTGCTTTACTCATGTATATATTTACATTTGTAGTATGAATTTAGTTTATTATATTATTATTATTATTAATAAATATTTTATGATTAAAAAATCTGTTTTTATAAGTAAAAAGAACGAACAGAATAAACTAAATCTCACAAATCATTAATGTAACTTCTTGTCTGTATCCTCATTCATTTTGAGCGAACTGATTGATTTTTTTCTGCTCACTTCTTCATTCACTTACTAGATTTCTATTGTTTTTGTTCTTTTTTTTCGTTCAACACATCCGCTTGTAAACACATATGCACATACACAGAATAGAAAAACATTTACTTTTCTCCCTCGTTATCATTACTATTATTATTAACTGATCTCGTATTAGTTGGATAAATGTTCTTATTAGTACATGTGGTGATGGTTTATTTAGTTGATGTTCTGTTTAAAAATAAAAGTTCCCTTAATCTCTCACCATCTTCATTACGTTCAACGTCTGTCGAAATGGTACCCTGTTCACCAGTTAACACTGTACACAGTTTACTCACATACATACACATAAACAGAGACAAGGAATAGTAAAAAAAAACAGATTTGTAGCAACATCCTTTTGAATTGTAACATAAAACATTATTATTTCCTTGTAATTTTGTTTTTATCAACTAATATTAGTGAAAAAAATGTTTTATTTTTCTAGTTACTACTTCCTTGATAAGTTGTTTGTTTAATGAGAAGTTATTATTAATTATTAATTTATGATGTGATTCAATTAATTAATTGAGAGAACCTTTGAAAAATGTTTGTTCGGTTGTTTTTTCCCCATGTTTCTTTATTAATCATATAAACTATGGGATAGATAAATTGAACTAATGATATCACTTTTTGTAAGAAATAAATCTTGGATTTGTTTCGATCAATGATGAAACGACGTTAATACATAGTAAAATGGTATTACATTCACTCTGAACACCATTATTTACAATGGTGTTATTTTCTCTGAGCTGGATGGTTTGTTGTAGGGTCTTTTTTATTGTCGTCGTTGACTGCATCATGTAGAATATTCTGATGGAGATTTTCAAACAATAATAAATGCTTTGCAATTAAATCATCCATTTGATGAAAGTACATAACACTACCAAATGGATTGATCGGAGCTGCAAGCGTTCCCCATTATTTCAATATTACTTATCTTTGAATAGTGGATAGATAATGGATGTTATCATATTGTATCTTAGATCTTATTTCAATATACTGAGTTATCTCAAAATATATCTTTACAGATAGACTTTTTAGTGGGTAAAAATGTACTAGTTAGATGATATTGTATTTTATCCAGTGAATGAATATAATTGTAGTGAGTAAGATAGGTATATTGAAATGATAATGGTTGTCAAGGATATGTGTAAAGTGAATAATACATATAATGTATCAATAGTAGTTGTATATATCTTTTATGATGGTAAGAGTGCCGATAAATTCAATACTGTAAATAAACCATGATACTGAGGAGAAAAGGTGATTTACTGTGTTTGTTTTATGTCGGTTTCGAAGTATCTGAACTATACAGTTTACTAAGATTCCCTGCAGAACACCACTAAGTCCACCGTATTGTACGTGATTAACGAGGACGTGAAATGGATCTGAAGTTTTGGTCGTCAGTCTAGTCCAAGCTTTTTCAAAGAAGATAATCAAATATAAATACATAGTTCACAGGTCGATTGTATGCTAAACAAATTGTCCAATCATGTGAACAATGCTTTAAGTGGGATTTGTTGTGGTGCGTACGAGTCACTTGGTATGAAAAGTATGGAAAATTGTAATAAGACAGCATGTGTATGTGTGTTTATGTAGATTTGATGTGATAAAAATTAACCGACCTCATATCCCTCTGGTTATGATTGTTGATGTAATTCAGTGATTTGATAGATGTCATAAATTCAACATGTCGCAGCATACATAAAATGAGGACGACTAGAGAAATAAATGTAAATTTGTGTTGTTGTGTTAAACAAGCGGGTCGTTCATTGTATATTTGACAAATTAACTGATTAGAACAAATGAAAAATAGTAGTTATTGTCCACATAATGGAAGAAGTGAAATAAAATACAAATTGATCTATTAATTACTAGTTGCCATCGGGAAACTAATTGTATTCTATCTCTTCTACGTATATTGTTTGAGTTTGTCTATATATGTAGGGCTTCAGCTGTTAATAGTCTTTTGTACGAAACAAACCCTTTAAAAGGGTTCTTGTGCCACTGAAGTCTGTTGTGGGTCTCGATTCTATTGAATATAATCCTTTTGCCGACTTGTTTCCTAGTTTCTGAGGCATTCTGAGCTTTAGGCAGAGTTTGTGTTTCTTCACCCGCGCACTGAGCCATCGTGATGTCTCGTTCACTTATACATCGTCATAGTCGTTACATTTGGTCACATAGACTCGATTTTGCTATTTCTTTCATATTGTATCCTAGAGCCTTACTAGTTTAGAATTAAAAGTATTGTTCGTTCAACAACGAAAACACATATTGTAGTGCTTTAGGGTCACTCCGATTTCTGACGATTAACTGTGTTGATCCATTCTCTTGGTTTTTCTTTTCGCTCATCTTTCTGACCCTAAGCATTCCTCTTGAAACGTCCCTAGGTTGGTTGTTCATCAAAGTACACATAACTAAATCCAAACCAGCTTCTTTATCAATTAGTTCTGAGACGAGTTTCTGAACTCTGTTATCGGATTCGTAGCGACTCTCACCTTTGTAAAAGGAGCATGTGATGACTTGTAGTCTAGATATGTTTCGGAATATGTTTGATTTTGGAATATAACAATGTTTAAACAATCATCACTCTTCCTCACAAGCAAACAGTCAAGAAATGGCAGTTTGCGATTAGTGGATCCGATTTCTGTAGTATACTTGGTGTTAATAGATATACTGCTGACGTTTTTAGAAAATTCGTCTCAGTCTCATTCGTAGTGATAAATCGGTTATCTATATATCTCAACGAGATTGTAGGTGATTAGGGACAATTTGAGATTTCTCTCGTTTCCAATCAATGAACAAACAGGTTAGCCATATTTGCGGCTATCGGTGATCTTGCAACCAACAGTCGACCTTATTAATTGAAGCCACATCTTAGTTTGACTGCCTCTAGCTAGCAAAGCAGAGCATATAAGTTTCACGAGAGTTTTCTCGACACATAAATTAGGGTCATCGACATTGGATCCGATAGGGAAAAGACCAAGTATACTATGTATCGCTCCAAATAATTTGGTTTTATCTATCGCATAACCACTGTCAACCAGGTGCGCCAAGATAGAGTTGTGTATAGTCTTTTGTCTGAAAATTTCCTAACCACGAAGAGAAGTTCATTTGTACTGATTGTTATAATTTCTCCCCTTGATATTAAGAAGCGCAATTGATCGGTGCCCCACGGCATATGTGTATCCCAGTGAGTGAGCATCAACTCTCGGATGCAGGTATATCCAGTTGATGAGTCCCAAATAGAGTGAAATGCACGTCCTCGATTCCACTGCTAGCCACCATCCATTTTTGCTTACACACAGAGAGATGTTTACTCAATCGCTGATTAAATTTCTTGGTAGTACGCTCAACGAATGCAAGCAATTTTACAGCGTCTTTGGGTCTATAGAACATTGATCATTCAGTGGAACAGCTTTATCTAAATTACAAATAAAGGTATAGTCATTGCAGGTTTTTCCTGCATCGTTATGTGGTGGTTTAGCTTTTAGAAAATTTGAGAAATGTTTAGAAATAAGTGGAGATATTTCATAGTATTATGGTTATGGATTGTTGACATTTCCCGGATAATTAAATCAAGCATCCATTTGAACTGTTGTGCCATACTAATCCAATGTCAGTAGTTCTCATGAATTTAATTACTCAATTACGTACTTTTGTTCTAATTTAAATGAAAAAGATATAGTCGTGGGAATGTATTGACTGTTTATTGGTGTGATCAATTTATGTGCCTATGACTGACAGATTTCAATGTTCTGCTCCCTGACTCGAATGAATACGGAAACACCTGACTAACTAGACTCACTTCTACAACTCGAGATATTCTTTTGTATTTATATCAGTATATTTACCTTGATTGTCTGTTTTAACTCTGATGAACAATCTTCATTATCCTATTTCAATATTTATCGGATTCTGCTTATTATTTGGGAATTTATACAACGATATAACCGACCGGTTAAAATATGAAGAAATTATGGATGAAATCAACTAAGTAACCTTTCTTTTGAAAACTTTACATAATCGCGAACCATTTTAATGAAGCTGGAACGTCATCATAGAGATAATTTAATTGTTTATAAAGGAATACGCATGGCATTTGTGACAAGGTCTTAATTTTGAAGAAAAAACATTTAATTAACAGCTGATTGACAAATACTTAGTGTTAATGATTTAAAAGCAAAGAGAATTCAGCGAAGATAATTTTCTTTTCGACGAAATCATTTATTCAAATTGTACATTCGTATTTATAGTTTTGTGGTAAATACATGTCTACAGAGGGATTAAAAAGGTTGCATCATAAATCTTATTTATTAATTTATTAGTTATTTGAACGCATTAACATTGGTACGAATGGGCAGCAAATACATATGCGCCACACAATAACGGTGAGAATTTTGAAGAGATAGGGAATTAAAAGTGCGCATAGGAAAAGGAAGAACTATAACGGACAAAAATTTGTGTACGATACTGAAGTAATAATAGAGAGGCAGTTCAGTTAGCAAAGGTACAGCCAGAATCAGTTTTTTTTTCAGTTAAAGAAGTTACGCTCATATTTTATGAAGAAAGTAAAAGAAAGTTACATCAGGATCACCACTGGCTTCTATTTTGAGTCATATCTGATAACGTCATAAGCCACTGTGTTGCACCATCTCTAGGACCCCAATCAGGGAGTCGTGAAATACCAACGGGAGCCAGTCATGTACAGCATTCTTGATGACACGGCACCTTCTACTACACTGATCACCTCTCCACTTCTTGTAACCAGTCTCAGCACCGGCAAATAATACACGAAGTAGAATTCTCT